CAGGGGTTAATCTATGGAGCTGAGAGGCCATCAGTGAAGCTGTTTCTGGAGAGTTGAACCCAAAGTAGCACATATTTGGGTGGGGGTCTTGATATCCTCTACAAGAAATACTACATAACCTAAAACTGACACTTAATGTACAAAGCTTTTTCTTATTTGAACGCACCTACACATAGCAGTGTAACATAGAGTTCTGTTTGGTTGAAATAACGAGATAACGAATTGACTTTAATCTCCACCTTGATTAACAGTCAAAGATAATTAGGCACTTGTCATATTTGTCTATTGTTAGCCGTACTGTCTCCACTGTCATATAGTGAATCAAGACAACGCATATTGTTAGATGGTCGGTGTATTTCCGGGGCTCAACTCCCAGATTATAGAAGAGATTATTCTCAGATCAATCTTATATAGCCTGTGGCAGAGTATCTGTAGTATAGAGTTTACAGATTTTTATGGTTATATAATGCTGCACTGGAATTTATCTATAAACACACAACCTCACAACTCGGCCATTGTTCTTTGTGGCTGAGATAGACCACACAGAAGTCACTGCAGGGTTAGCATCAGTCAGTGCAACTGCTGGAGACCCAGACTAAACATTTCTAACAGTAAGCAGTTGTGGTTTACAGTGAGGAAATATTGACTGTAAATAGATTATAATAAGATTTTGGCAGCCACACAAACAACATATTTACAGTGTATATTTACTATTTGGGGCACTATTGGGTTATTTAAAGCATTTGTTCACCCAAATTACTAAAATGACTTTTCCATCCAGATAATTAGTTTGGTAATTATTTAGTTTCACTGGATTCAAACTAATTTCTCATTTTAAATGTCTTTAATTCAGAAAAACAAGATCAAAACAATTTAAAAGCCCTTTGGATCAGTTTAATTATCATTAGTTTTCCTTTTGAAATGAGCAGTTCATCTGGGAACAAAGACAACGGTTAATGGGACGTAAAGCGCCATTAACAGGTTATTTGATGTCCTGATAAATTACAATACTTACAATAACTGACAGGTCACAGCAACAAAAAATCAACACAAACTTTGATTTTCATCCCAAATTTCCATTCATAAGCACATAAAATCAGATAGACTTTTTTTTTGTTCTCCCATTTATAAAAAGGTAGTTTTAGTTCTCATTTCCAAGCTGTGCTGGCAGTAACGTCCACTGACCCTGAATCAAACCTTCATTCTGGATTAAAGACAATTGACGGACGTTTAAAATAAAATGTTTTATTAGAGCATGAAAGCAGAGTCGTCTTGCAGCAGAAAAAGCTTTTATTTAGTTTGCTGGCTGAAGTCGCTCGACGACAGCAAAGAAACCAGAAAGAACATTATAGAACGTCAACATTATGAATATAGGATCTCTCAAAATTACAGCAAAACAGGGAGTTGGAATATCAGATATCCTAAACCCAAAACCTCATCCTAACGCGCCCTTTGTAAAGACAGGAAACGGAGCCGGCGACAGTCTTTGCTCAGCAAATGATGCAACAGTGAGCCAATAATCGATCGATCAGTTATTGCAGTGATACTTACAGACATCCTACAGACATCTGCTCAGGGTTTAAAAACCCTCAGACTCTCTTCAGATGCATAGAAACATCCAACTCTACAAACGTGTAAAAAAAACTGTTGTGATCTGGAACAGTTACAGAGGAAGTGACGTGTTTCTAATCTTCTCTACTTTAATCTCAAACGAAGGCAACGTCCATCAGCGAAAAAAAATCAAGGCAGAACGCGTGACGAGAAACAATAAATGAACAGATGAATGTGGACTAAGTCTCCGGATTACTAATCCCTTTTTTCTGGTTTTTACTCGTCACAAAGCAGCAGCAGGAAACAAACATTTTGTTCTGTGAAGATAACAAACTAACAGACTTCCTCTGGAAAGATCCTTCATCGCTGTCGGACAGAAAGTGACACCAAAACCACCGAGATCCACAACCAGGTGGTTCGGTACGGAAGACGCAACGGGCCACGAAGAAGAGAAAAAAAAGATTAAAGTCATAAAATCATCAGAGAAAGAAAAAGTATAATGTCTGATTGTCACAAAAGAAAGTCGACTAAATTAAAATCTAATAAACTGGTTTCAAACTGTATTTTTCACTTCAGCCCACAATCAAACTGGTTTTTAACTTTTGGACTGGGTTTACACTGGTTTTAGATTGTTCAACTTTAGACTGAAGACAACTTGGTATGCACCAGTTTCAGACTGGTTTCCAATTGGGTTTGAACTGGTAATAAAATAAGTTTAAACTAGTTTTAAACTAGTTTTAGGTGCTTTCAGACTAGTGAGTAAAAACACTTTATACTCATTTAATGAGATTTGAAGTCAAATTTTTTTCTCTCTGAACTGAAATATTTTTCCTTCCCGTGACCCTCGTCGTCTTCCATACACTGATTTTATGAAAACACAGAAGTAAAATACAGTAAGTGGAAAAGCGAGTGCAGCTGGGGGGGAGGGGGGGTTCAGGTGAAGGAGGACGTCCCTCTGATCGTCTCCCGTCCTTCCTGATGTTCTCAGGTGGCGGTGGATGGTCATGAGGAGGGGGCGGGGCCGTGGCGGGGCCCGACTCGTCCTCCATCTCTTCCTTCGACTCTGGAACGTTTGTTTTTCCGTCCGGTTCAGTCGAAGGGGCTGAAGTCCCTCTCCAAGTTCTCGGACTCGTCGTCGTCGGAGAAGAAGTCGTCCTCGTCGATGTCGTCCTCGTCATAGTCCTCGTGCCACTCAGGGACGTACTCTTCGTCGTACTCGTCGTCCTCGTCCTCCGCCTCCTCGCCGCCCTCCTCACCCGTGTTATTGTTGTTATCGGAGTCTCCGGAGTCAGACGCTCGTTCCGACTTCGACCTGAATGAAGAAGAAAACACCAGAGCTCAGTCTTTACTTTACATTCTTTAATTTTGCTTTTTCACATTTTCATGGAAATCATCAAATTAAGGACCAAGTGAAAATACATTTGTCTTCAGTTGCAGCCTACGGAGTCCCTAGAGGGACATAACTCGAATAACTCTGGTCTCCAGGTGTTCCAGGACTGAAAACTACTCTCTAATCTCTGAACCCTGACATGATTGTATAAACTCTAAAGTATTTCCCTCTGAGATGTAGTGCAGTACAAGTACTCACACTTTGTTGGCGTCTGTGTTGTTGGACAGGTTGGAGGCCTGAGTGGATTCTGGTTCCTGACTGCTCTTGGACTGATAACCCACCCTAAAGTCCTGGATCAGACACAGACACAGCAAACTGTCAACGATACCGTTTGTGTTCGGTATTAAGTCAGTCCTCCTTGTGGCCCCTCTGAGGCCCCTCATTAGGCCGTATAATTAAAGCTGTCACTCAAAGCAGCCACGCCCTTCATTCTGCATAACGTTCTTCCTTAATATCATTTAAAGGAGGAAATAACTCTAGAGACCAAAAGGCAGTAAACATGTTTATTTTGCAGTTTAATATGGAGCCTCCAGTGGACATTAGAGGAACTGCAGCTTCTGCTAGCGGTGGCTTTTACCTGGGTGGAGTGCTGCAGGATGGCCAGCAGGCGCTCCTGGATGCGTCGGATCAGTTCCAGTCCGGTGTTCAGATGTTCTGGTTTCAGCAGGCGGACACACGAGGCCAGATCAGTGCACTGCAGCAGAGTCTCCTCTGAGGACAACAACACCAGTCAGTCAACACCAGTCAACACCAGTCAACACCAGTAAACTGCAATTTCCCAGCTTGGGATCAATAAAGTATATCTATCTATCTCTATCTATCTAAACACCAGTCAACACCAGTCACCGGGGTCAGACCCGGTCCAGCTGCACAGCCTCACCCAGCAGGATCTGCAGGGCGTTGGTGTGCAGGTCCAGAGCCTCCGTCTGCTGCTCCATCACATCCATCTTCTCCGTCTCCTGGTTGTAGTAGCTGTACACGCAGGAGTATGCCAGCACCTGCAGACAGAGAGCAGGGCACAGTGATCACAATGCCTGAGAGTAGAGGGGGGCTCACTCTGAAGAGGAAGAGGATGATGATGAGGTTACCTTACGAGCCTGGGCCAGGACTTTACAGGCGTCGATGACAAAGGTCAAAGACTTCATCTGCAGAGCTTCATTAATGGACGACACTTTGTTTTCCAGGTTGACAGCGAAATCCTGCAGCAGAGAGTAAAATGATGGAGAGAGACCCTCCACTTACTCAAACTCATTAGTTCATATAACATAACATAACACAACATAATATAATATAACACAATATAACATAACATAATATAACATTATATAATACAATAGAAAGCACTGATGCCAACAGGTTTGACGGTGAAGCAGTAACTGTGTAGAGCTGTTTACGGTGAAGCAGCTGCTGTCAGTAACCCTACCTTGGCCTGGTGGTGGAAGGTGCATCTCTCATTATAATCCTGGAACTTCTTCTCCTGCCGCGCTGCTTTACTCACCTGCAACAACAGCACTGATTAAACCTCTGAATGACACAGTGTGACACAGTATGTATGGCAAGCCCTTTTAACATTTAAACGCTAAGTTTGACTATCCGGAATTAACATTGTAGATATCAACAACGTCTTTCTGACTAGTCGCAATTACATTTTAACCCTAACGTAATTGTGACTAGTCAAAACTACAGATATCTGCAATGAAGTCATTGA